ATGGCGGTGCTCACGAGAAGCTGTCCCTGATCAGAAGTACTGTGAAAGGCACATAAACAGAGGTCGCCATCGTTCAAGAAAGCCTGTGGAAGGTCAGAATGGCCATGCTGTCGCTGGATCCACCAATTCAAAGGTGGCATCAGTCGCACCCTCCTCATCAGCGATGGTGATATCCAGCAGCGGCACATCCAACAGCCTTGGTGCTGTTCAGCACCAGTTTAATAGCTTGCAGCCCACTGCTGCCAATCCTTCCACTGAGCAGCTTGTCAACAGGTACTAAATGCTTAAGTAATGACAGCTAGTTGATATGCACATTATAATGCTTTCATCTCCTTCTCAACCTTGAAATAGATATCTTTATTTTCTCTTAGGTGTTAAACCGAAATTTGAAATTTCTTCTCTAGGTTTTAATAATGAAAAAGGGTTGTTAACTTGTCATCAAGACCTGCAGGGATAGAAGGAAAAAGGAACTGGAAATGCATTACATGTTTATTATTCTTTGGTCCTAATTAGTAAGTATGTAAATGACAGAATCCTGTCTAAAAAAAGTATGTATATGACAGAATGCAAGATCATAAAGGTGTCTCTATGATATCTCCAACAATTGGTTTGAAGCCCAAGGACTCAGCTATTTCGATTCAAAAGCAACATAATGGATTTGAACTGTCGTCGCTGTCAGAATTTGGACTTGTCTCGTCAGATTCCCTTCTCAATCCTTCACAAAGAAGTTCCTTTGTAAATCCTAAGAATTCTAATGCTTTCATAGATTTCAATGACCAAGAACAAAGTGAACAACATCCAGTTCACCATTTCATTGATGGCTGGACTAAGGAACAGTCTTCACGTGCCTCTGCATCTTGGCCCGAAGAACTAAAATCAGACTGGACTCAACTGTCTATGTCCATTCCCATGGCTGCCTCAGATTTCTCATCATCATCGAATTCTCCTTGTCAAGAGAAGCTCGCTCTTTCACCCTTAAGGTTATCTCGTGATTTTGACCCGATTCAAATGGGCTTGGGAGTAACAAATAGCCATGGTAAACCTATGCAAAAGACAGTTAATTGGTTACCAGTATCCTGGGAAAATGCACTTGGTGGACCACTAGGCGAGGTCCTGAATAGTACTGCTGGTAATGCAGGAGATGGCAAGAACTCTTCAGCTCTGAACCTGGCAACAGAGATGTGGGATACCAGCCCTCCATTTGGATCATCTCCTAGGGGTGTCCTGCAGAAGTCAACCTTTGTTTCACTCTCAAACAGCAGCTCAGGAGGTAGTCCCCGAGCTGACAGCAAGAAGGTTCATGAGGGTGCTGGCATGTGCGATGAGGTGATCGGTTCAACACTGGCTGCTTCCTTGTGTATTCCCTCGATGTAAGTCCTGTCTGTTTTATAAAAGACACTAGCGGTGTACTTGACTGATCCAGAACAGTGGATCAAAGTGCACTTTGAGAAAGTTGATGATGATAATCTCCCTAGTTTGCTGTTTATCTTGTCTTGCTCGGCATGTTTGTCAAAGCAGATATTTTCGACAAGTATGTGTTGTAACTTTATTTAACAGACCTTTGATTTTCTCTTATCCTTCCGGAGAACTCAACGTATTTGTGATTGTTACCTTGTTTTTTCCTGTAAACGAATGTGGAACTCTCATTTACTTGAGCTTTTCTTTATTGGATGTCACATTTTAAATTGCAGTTTGCACTTTAGAGTTGAAATTCACAGGCTGCTTTTGGGGCGTCTTGATTAGTTTATACTGCATAATGAAAGTACAAGAGGGGGTTAAGTGTTTATTTTTAAAATTAATTGTTATAAGTTGATTAGTTTTTCAATTAGTCGACTAGATGTAATAGCGAGATATCAAGAGGTGCAAAATTAAAATGCAGAAGTAAAGTGTAGGAATTAAAGACACCGAAGTTTTTATACTGGTTTGAATTCAATGTGAATCCTAGTCCAATCCTCTTGGGTTGCAAGGGAGTTCTGTTTCAATGATTGAGTTTCTTGAGTACAAAGTAATGGTGTAGTTTACACCAACAACTCAGTTTTTATGTCATTCATCTTTTCTTGATACAATGTCTCCCCGGTATTTTTTTCTCTTTCTTCTCTAACTTGTTACACAGCAGATTTAGTAGAGCTACAATGTTTGTTTGCAGTAAAACAAAGAGAGGGTAATTAGTTTGATCAAAGTATGTATCTCTAAGTCTTAAGGTTGTGTATAAATACTTTGTAGGAGACCGTTACTGAAGAAATTTGCCAACCCAAGAGATTTGATCCTTGGAAAGAAATTGATTCTTTCCAAGAATAAGCTTAATTCCCGTTACTCTTCCTTGGTGTGTGGACTTTGACAGCTTTCCATCTTTAAGTCTTGATAGCTCCGGATTTGCTCCTTAAATCTGGGTTCTTCCATCTTCAATGCTTTTTTTCCTTTTTAGCTCTTCAAGCTATCTCTGATTGATTTTCTTGCCGGATTCTCAGTGCTTCTTTTCCTTTTGTGTTTTACTCCCCCTCAATGAGTGCAATTGACTCCCCCTCAATAGGTGCCATTGGGACTACTTCCTTTAGTCGACTTCTCCTGTAGTATTTATAGTCGACTCCCCGTGCAATGAATGTGCCTGCATGAATATATGGATAGCAGTCTTCTCCCCCTTTTTGACATCAACAAAGAGGATAAAAACAACAATACACTAAAGCATAATTGTAGCAGGAAATGCATTATATGCATGCAGAGTTATAGCAAAACAAGAAAAGAAAAAAAATATCCAACGAGTGGTTATCCAGTCCAAAACAGCACATAAAAAAAAACTGTTTGAAACTTCCATACTAACGATGCAGGAAATAAGTAAGAGTGTTGCAAAATCGCCTCCTTCAATTAATCAAAGCTAGCATTGGCTGAGACAGTCACTTCATCAAGCCTGTCGTGTACTTCCTTGAATGTCTTGACTGCATTTTCCCTAACTCTAAAAATTGCAACCCTTATCTTTGAAACATCAGACCCTGTCTCTTTGGAGATTGCGTACATATCCCCAACAGTGAACTGAGTAGCAGCAAGAAGATCTTTAATGGTGGTCAGCTGGTTTCAATGGCAGTCAGTTTCTCAGCAAGGTCAGGATTACTAAGGCTGTGATGGGAAACATAGGCTTTGGTCTTGGGATCAGGCTGAACATGCTTGATCTCACCTTCCTATTTCTTAACCCCAGGAGCCCTTCACACACACACATCCCATATTAGCAAACGCCCTTGAATTGTAAGATTTTGAAACAGAGACGAAGGGATAGTTAGAGATAGAGATGTTATGAGCTTCCAGAATGTGAGTGATGGCCATGCCATAGGGCAGACTGGTGGGATCATCAGCACTTTCAATCATAAAATTTATGACCTAGGAGGACAGTTTGACCTTGAGTTTGGTCACAAGGCAATAGACAAGAAAAGTATCTCTTTGAGAGAGGGTGCAGAAATAGCCAGTACGAGGGAGCAGAGTAGTTGCAATAATGTGGGCTAGAACACGAGTTTCAAAGCTAACATCACTTGAACCTAACTGGTTTGGGAGGGATTCAGATGAACACTCAGCAATACATCATTTTGCTTGATCAAAAGTGATTTTAAAACCATCAATCCAAGAATTTTTGAAAAGCATGGGAAAACCAGAACACTTACGCTGGAAGATTGAAGCAAACACAGTACAATCAAGAACGATGCACTTTCCTAATACTAAGGATTCCAACTTGTCAGACTTACTAGAGCAAAAATTGTCATAAAACATTCTCACTAGGGGTTCATAGATTTTAGAAGAGGGAACAGAGAGGAATTTTGACCAGCCTTGATAAACAAACAGATCTTTTACCTTACAGTTTAGGGCCTCCATGTCATCAAGGTCGATTACTCTGCCGTGAGCGATTGGCTTATCTTTTAGAGCAATGAAAAAATCCTTGGTTGGAGAATCCCAGAAATTTAGGTTAGAATCTAAAGAACTTGAGAGATCAATTTTCGATTTCTTTGGAGTAAAGAACTCAGGAGGTTCTTCCAGAGGTCTTTTTCCTAGGGCTTTTTGGAGGAGATTTTCGGCCAAGAATAACTCTATTAAAGGAAGACTAATTTCACCCAGTAACTCACGTTTTAGAGTTGTATTGTTCTTGCCCACCTAAAAGCAAAATCGTCCAAGGTTTTACTAGGCATATAGCAGAAGCTGCAGCTCTGGATTCTTGCTGTTTGGAAGATTTGTGCAACTATTTCTAAGAGGTTAGTGATTCTAATCTTGTGATTATAGCATTGTCTAGTTTACATGTATTTGATGCCTGAATTGTATGCTTGCTTCCGCTGCGCATGTTCTAATAATTGGTATCAGATGCCGTCTTACATCTAACTAGATAATGTAATACAACATGAAATAAAACGTGTTGTTTATTGATACATGTTTTGTATGATACATGTTAAGTTTAATAAATGTTTTATCTACACTGCTGCTAGAGTACATGACCTTTTTTATTCTTGATATATCTCCTCATGTGCTACAACAACCAAAAGAATCAAATAACATTAATCTGCCACATAAAAGAAAACGTATTTCTGAATTGAGTCAAACTATTTGTGGCACTTATGTCTAGGTCATATAAATCTAAATAAGATTTCGAGATTGGTCTCTGATACACCTTTGAGTTCATTGAAATTGGAGTCACTACCAACATGTGAATCCTGTTTAGAAGGTAAAATGACCAAGAGACATTTTGCCTCAAAAGGAAATAAAGCCAGTGATAAGCTAGAATTAATTCACTCTGATTTGTGTGACCCTATGAATATACAAACAAGAGGTGGTTTTGAATATTTTGTGACTTTCACAGATGATTACTCAAAATATGGATATATTTATCTGTTGCGATGTAAGTCAGAATGCTTTGAGAAATTTAAAGAATTTAAGACGGAAACGGAGAAACGACATGATAAATATATCAAAACATTGCGATCTGATCGTGGTGGTGAATACCTTTCTGCGGAATTCATAAAATACTTATCAGATAGTGAAATTACATCTCAATTATCTGCCCCAGGAACACCACAACAAAATGGTGTGGTAGAAAAAAGAAATAGGACCCTTATGGAAATGGTTAAATCAATGTTAAGTTATTCCGATTTGCTTTCTTCCTTTTGGGGATATGCTTTAGAAACAACAAATTACATTTTAAATTTGGTTCCTTCAAATTCAGTACCTTCAACTCCAGTAGAATTTTGGACTGGGCGCAAGCCAAGTTTACGGCATATTCGGGTTTGGGGTTGTCCAGCTGAAAGGGAAAATGGATAAATTAGAATCAAGGACAGAAGTGTGCATTTTTATTGGATATCCAAAAGGAACTAAAGGCGGTTTGTTTTATTGTCCCAAAGAACAGAAGGTAATTGTTACGACAAATGCCAGATTTTTAGAAGAGGATTATTTAACGAATCATATTCTTAGAAATATACTAGTTTTACAGGAATTAAATAATGGAGTAACTAAAGACTCATCTCTAGAACGTATCCCTGAATCCAGTATTGACAACCACTGCATTATTGTAGTGGGAGAAATGTCAATATGCAGCAGATTGCACGAGAGCAATTGCCTGACATCTCACTACCCCAAAGTAGTGAGAGTAATGTTGAGCAACCTTAGATTGTTGAGCAACCTCAAATTGTTGAACAACCTGAAATTGTTCTGCAGCCTGCACTCCAGGAAGAAATTAATGATATCCCAGCACCGCAAGGTGTGGAGGATAACATTGAGGCTTTAGTTCCAGAAAATAATGTTGTGATTCAACAACAAAATCAGCCTCTGCCTGTAGTGACTAGTCTTAGTGGGAGAATTATTAGAAAACATCTCCGGTTTATGCTCTTGGGAGAATCTTATGATAGAATTCCTGAAGAGCCTAATACAGAACCTATTAATTACGACGAAGCACTACAGGATATAGATGCTGATAAATGGGTTGATGCTATGAAATCTGAAATGGAGTCCATGTACTCCAATCAAGTCTGGGATCTTGTAGAACCACCTACTGGAGTCAAACCCATTGGTTGTAGATGGATCTATAAGAAAAAGAGAGGAGTGGATGGAAAAGTGTAAACTTTTAAAGCTAGGATTGTTTAAAAGGGTTTACTAAAAAAGAAGGGATTATGAGGAAACCTTTTCGCCAGTAGCCATGCTTAAATCCATTAGGATTCTCTTATCCATTGCTGCTCATTACGATTATGAGATCTGGCAAACGGATGTCAAGACCGCTTTTCTAAATGGAAGTCTTGATGAGTGCATCTATATGGCACAACCAGTTGGTTTCATAAAAAGTGGCAATGAGCACATGTTGTATAAATTAAAGAAATCCATTTATGGATTGAAACAAGCTTCTAGGGCATGGAACACTTGTTTTGATGCATCGATTAAAACCTTAGGTTTTGATCAATGTGAACATGAGTCTTGTGTCTATAAGAAGTGGAATGGAGATAAAGTTACATTTTTGGTTTTGTACGTAGATGATATTTTGCTCATAGGAAATAATGTGAGCATGTTGAATTCAGTAAAGGAATGGTTGTCCTCACGTTTCGATATGAAAGACTTGGGACAGGCAGCACATATCCTTGGGATCAAGCTTATGCGAGATCGCAAGCAAAGGATATTAGGATTGTCCCAAGCACTTTATATTGATACTATTCTCACCAGGTTTAG